GTTCTAGCATCTAGAACAATGCCAGGTACAAAGTAGGCGTTGAATATTATTTTGTTGAATGACTGTGAATGAAAAGGGGGTTACACAGTCGACCTGATAAACTAAGGGGGCCACATATCATGCCTGACAAGCTCAGTAGCCAAAGTAACCACACAGGATGGTCCGATAATAAATTCCTAACTGGGCAGTCAAGCCCCAGACCTACAGCTTCCTTAGCAAAGGTTTATTTTACCTTTAGTGAGCCCTGTCCATTGTTCTTATGCAATGTAAGATAATATCCCTTTGAAACATCACAGTAGTTTTCTTTTCCAGAGCCCTTTAAGGCACAGCTGCTGGCACCACATCATGAGACCAAGAAACTTCTCACATGCCATTACTACTTACTGTATATGTTAAATGTTAGCTATCCTATGCCCACTAATATAAAAGAAGTATGTATCTCTCCATTTTGCTTTTTTATCCAATCCTAGAGATTTCCCTGCTTTGTTTTCTCCTGCCTTCTTAATCTATTACCAATGGACTTTTTTGTATCTTCCTTACGTTTCCTCCTTTGATTCTAAATGTGTAAAATGAACAGCAAAACTACCACTCTCTGGAGCATTTTCTTTCTTTCTTTTTTAAAAAGATTATTTATTTATTTATTTTTAGAGAAAGGGGAAGGGAGGGAGAGAGGGAGAGAAACATCAATGTGTGGTTGCCTCTTGTGTGCGCCCTACTGGGGACCTGGACTGCAAACCAGGCATGTGCCCTGACTGGGAATTGAACTGGAAACCCTTTGGTTCTCAGGCTGACACTCATCCACTGAGCCACACCAGCCAGGCTGGAGCATTTTCTTAATTTGTCGAGATCTTGCTTCTACGTATGTCCTCATTTTTTTTCCTCAAAGTCATAAATTTTTGACTATAGATTTGGATATCCTTTTGTGGACAGAATAAACAATGGAATCTTATGCAGCATTGAGAAATAAATGAACTTTGCATGTATCAAGATACATGAAAGTAGAGGTTGGTGTAGAACATACTAATCACAGAATGTACAGCATATTCTGCTTATATAAAGATCAAAAACCTTGCAGAAGTAAACATTTATTGTATGTACATTAGAAGTACTCATCAAGCTAAGCAAAGAAATGCTTAACACAATTTAGAAAAATGAATAGGGAGCATTTGTGGACAAGGTTCCCTGATGCGTGCACTGGCCTGCAGTACCCATGGTGTTATGGATGGGATTCAAGACAAATTCACACTGACTACCGAGTCTGTGGAGGAAAAGGGGCAGGCCATTCTCTCAAGGAGAGAGCGTGCTGACCTTTACTGGGACAGGCTTTTATTGGGTTTAATTTGCACAGGAATACAGGTACAGCTCATTAATCATTGTCAGGCAGTAAGGATCAAACAGTAGATAGCATACAAAGAACTATTAGGGCTTCTTCTGAGTCAGGGTCTATCAGCTAAAAAGCTACAAAACTTTGGGAAACAAACTCATTTCCTGCTCGGATCTTTATCATTTAACTAAGAGCATTCTTAGCAAAGCAGGTTTCACAGAATTTTACATATTCTTTCTCAGGCTTGATCACCTGGGGAGCCCGTCCTTTCCAGCACAGGGCTGCACCATCCTCTGTCATTGTTTCAGGTTTAAGTCAGGCAGAAAAGGCAGATATCCAAGGAATTTTTGGAGACTTCTCACAGACTCAGGGGAGTCAGGCCTTGTCAAAGCCGAGGGGTGAGGGTCCATCACCCCCTTTCTCCATAGCCCCCCAAGTCCTTCTCTGGGGCCTCCACATGATCACGTCTGTCTTAGGTCATTCCTCCCTTGATCATTGGCTAACTGATCAAGCTTTGGGGGCCAGTTATGAAAAAAGGACCATAAGCGGCGTTCCTGCCAGGGAGATAAGCTTTGTCTCCTTAGTGGCTTATGGTCTGAAGTTTGCTCACTCAGCCTTAGCCATGGTGGGTTACAGCTCCTGAAACCAGGCAGGGCTGTTCCCAACAGTTTCCCAAACTCTGGTCATGTTCTCTTTTGAAAGCAGAGTGTTTGGTAAGTGGACATTCATTTTATTACTCTTAAACTGTATGTCTAAATATATTATATTATGTGTATGGTTGTGGGGTAGCTCAGGACATGGCCCCTCCACGACTCCAGAGGACTGGTGGCTGCCTGGCCAGCAGCCATAAGGAGAGAGGAAAACAGGCTGTGTCTGGAGTCCCAGACTTCTTAAGAACCCTGTGTTTATCACAACCCTGTAGCGTTTTACATGCTCCCTTCCCTCCCAGCCCCTCCCTCCCTAACCTGATGGGGAGCACCTAGGCTGGAGGCAGCAGGTCTCCCTTGCCCATCCACTGCCCTCGGTGCACTCCTCTGTAATGCTCAGGATAAATGGCATGTCCACAACTGCTAGTCCTCTGGGTGGCTTTTTTCAGAATATCATGAACACTGAAGCAGCTCCCTGGTTTGGGTTGGGGGCACCTGTGCTGGAGTTGGCATTACAAACAGGATATTCCAGAAAATACTTCTGTTGGGTGGACTGCTTGTGATAACATGCTGGCTTGGGGAGACCTGGAAATAGTGGGGAATCTCTGGGTGGTTCACCAGTATTGAGGGGGATGCCCCAAACATTCCCACTGGCCTTGTACAGGACTTGCATCCGGGAAAAGAAGGAAGTAGCCAAAGCAAAAGTGCAGCAGTTAAAGGGTGAGATTAAATTAGAGAGAAAAAGAAGGAGATGAGATTCTTCTAAGTCTAGCCCTAATCTCTTCTTAAAATTTTGTCTTTGCTTTAGATTTTGTTTTTGTTTCTGTTTTGGAAAGCAGCAGCTTAGTTCGCATTTTAGACTAGTTAGAATTGTTTTGCTAAAGGTCTGGTAAATGGGATAAGGTTTTTGAAATGTATTCATAAATTTGTCAACCTAAAGAATGCTAATTACTTACATTTGAGTTAGGGAAAATATCATGGCTTTAGTAATAAAAAGTGTAAATTATGGCAATATATATTTTGAATTAAATAGAATTAAACATAGATGGTTCTAATTTGTGAATGAATTAAAAGGGCAAACTAAAAGGGATTTTAAAAGTTGCAGAAGGATTGTGTAGAGGGAAGAAGCAAAAGGGTGAACAAATGAGCACATCTTGTGCTTTCTCTACCCAAATTAGTAGGTCAAATTATGTGTAGAGTCTTTATGTGTTCAGTCTTCATGTGCATGGACTTTATGTGATGGGTGTTTGTGTGTTACACATGGTGTTTTCTGTCTCTAGATGGTATAATTAGGGTGTAGTATTTTATTGGCCTTACTAAAGAAAGTAAACACATATAAATTTAACATGATCATGTGGTCTGGACAAATTATTTGATGTGAAAACTGGTTTTAAGTTTAATTAATGTATTTTGAAGTTATTACTATGAAAAATGTGTTGTTTTACAAAAGGTTTATTTCATCCTCTTTTGGTTGTTTGACAGCCTTTCCAAAGTTTAAATTTAAGAGACTTTTCAACTGAGAAATGAGTTTGAGTTATTCCAATGGGCCCCTGGAATACCTCAAGGACTTGTTCTCCCTCTTTTATAAAAAAAGAAGTTTTTGAACTATTGGTAATTAGGCCTATTTAATATGCTTAAAGTACATAGGAAACTTTGTCAAATACAGAATAAGTATGTTCTATTTGTATACACATATTTCTATTATTAAAGTAGATGTTCTAGAGATTATATGAGTTCTGATGTACTTTAATTTGTAATTTTAGTTGTCTTAAAATGTTGTTGCAGGGAAGCAAATTCCTTTGTCAATTGCATTATACCCAACTCTGTAACCATATCATTTTAAGTTTTGTCATTTTAAAACAGAACTTAAACACCTTCTCCCAATGGGTGTTAATGCTGGCTGCTGAGAACAAACGCTCAGCCTGTTGGGTCTGCAGAGTTTCTGACTGGGGCCTCCGTGGGCCTGCCTTGGTTGACTCACCCTGTGAACTAGACATGCTGGGAGTGGCTGCAGGGCTGGAAGGCTTCTGACACCCTCTTCAAACAGACATGTGAGAAGGTGTTTTCCCTTGTGAGGAAGCAGGCTAACCACACCAAGCCATAGCTCACGTTAACAGTTTGGGATGGTGTGGGGTGGCTGTCAGCATGGCAGGTAGATGAATGACAGCTTGTACCCGTATGTACTGAACACAGAAACGAGACTGCAAATGAAACTGCAACTCCTGGAGTGGATGCCTTCCACCCTGTACAAGAATATTACAATACTGACTGCTGCAGACAATTGGTGGTGTTCCCTCCTCCTGGGTCTCTTTGGCTTCTGTCTTGGACTTATAGTCTTGGGGGGTAGCCTTTACACCCCTTGTGGATGAAATGTGCCAACATGCTCACCACACAGTTCTCCCACCTGGAGAATTAACGCGAAGAACCTAAGGAAGAGCAAAGCAGGCATGGAGTGTGGGGTCAGTACATGGCCTTTCTCCCTCCGGTGACTGAGGGCTAGTCAGAGTCTAGCATTGTTTTGGGAATGGATCGTAACTCCTTCTTCATCTCTTTTTGGGAGAGGCTTCTTGTTCTGTGACTGCTTCTTGACCTTTTCCATCTGCACGTACACACTGCGGTAGTGTAGCTCTGGGCCACACGTAGGTTTGTGCAACCTGAACCCGAGCTGCCTTTGTCAGGAACTCCTTATGATGAGCCTCAGACTGGAGAAGGTGCGGTCTCTTTCGCACCAATCCACGGTCGTCGAAGGCAGTCCTTGCGCTCCCACGTAATATGAGTAATAAACGGCGTGTCCATATCTCTTAGTCTTCCGGATATTTTTTTCGGAATATCAGGAATACTTAAGCAGCTCCTGGGTTTGACTTTGGGGCTCCTGTACCACAACCTGCCTCGAACGTGGCCTTTAACTCCCACGGTGGCCCTTTCGGGCCGCGAGAAGTCGCTTCCCGGAAGTGGCCGCTGCGAGGTGCCCTCTGGGAAGTGTAGAGCTCGGCATGTTGGGAGTCGTAGTTCTCCTCCGGTCCGAGGAGTTGCTGGACTCGAAGGCCTTTTGGGGGCTTGTGATGCGGGCTCCTCTGGGGCGCCCTGCTTTGGCCTGCGAAACTTCCCAGCTTTTTCCTGCCTTCGGGGGTGTCAGAGTCCACCTCCATGTGAGTGGGGCATGTGCAGGGGGCGGGGGCTGGGCTGGGCACCTGGGACGCGCCTGGTCGCTTGTCCGCCACCTGAGCGCGGTACTCTGCTGGCAGGGAGTTGGGGTGCCTGGGACAGCTGTGGGTGTGAGTCTTTTGTGAGACTTCTAAGTGAAATAAACAGTAGCTAATGCCTATGGAGAACTTAGCTTTGCCAGACACTGTTCAAGCGTCTTAGATCGGCGATTTTCACCTGGTGCGGTGCAAGAATTTTTACAACATGCAACACCTGACTAGCCAGGGGCACTGACCTCTCTTCCCTTTTAGATGGTCAAATAAAAAAAGGTAGCCATCCGATGTGAATGAGTGAAAATTGTACCTACTTTTTTGACAAATCAGCAAAATATATATATTTGTATGCTGCGTGGAATTTTAGTAACTAGTTTATTTGTGCCATGAGATGAAAAAGGTTGAAAATCGCCGCCTTAGATGAATTGACTCATTTCATCCTCTAATTACACGTAGGTTGGCTGTACATGTCTCTCATTTTACAGATAAAGAAACTGAGGCAGAGCAGCTGGGCTCTGGATTCTCTTTCAGCCTCTAATACTTAACCACTGTTGCTTCTTTGGTCAGGTCACCGAGCTCCCTAGTTCTCAGTCTCTGACACCTGTAAAATGGAGTAGCAATACTTAGTTTTTAGAGTTGTTTTGAGGACTACAAATAATACATGAGAAGCACTCAAGACTCCTGGCATGGAGCAGGTGTGCCTATAGTATCTGTAATTACTTGTACGGCAGCTGCACTCATGCTGAGGTGTGCTATTTGTGGTTATACACTATACCCAGTCTGTTGAGCTCTCATGTCAGGTGCCATACCCCAAAAGCCTGCAAACTCAGGCAGCCAGTGCAGGCAGCGGTGGCCAGTGCCCTTCTCTGATGCTTGTATGGCTGCTCCAGGCACCCCCTTACCTGGCTGTCCCAAGCCAGGTTTGGGTATGAGAGGCTGAGGGCTGTGTGAACTTTGGTTGCTATAAGAGGAGGTACCTATGGAATCTGTGTTTAGGAGGGGCCCCAGAGCAACACTCTGTCATTCATTTTGTGTGAGAGCACATGTTTTAACCACGTTCCCTTGGGTGAAATATGCTAAGGTAGATGCAGAGAGACAGACAGACATGGACAGTTTGCAGATTATGTTCTACTGATTGTTCTGAAGGAGAACACAGCACTCCAGGCAGGCTGCTCAGGGGAAGCCCCTAGCTCCATCCTGAGGCAAAGAGAGAGGGAAATGTGGGCAGGCACCTTCATTGTGATTTCTTCTGGAAGGAAAGGGGTAGGCAGGACTCACAGGCTTAGGACTGGCTGGCGGTGTTTGAAAGGGGTGGCCTGGGAAGTTCACGTCCTCTGTGACTGTTAATGTGTAGTGGGTGAATCACAGTTCACTATTAGATTCTTGGTGGATGTTAAAGCATCAATTTAACAGAAGTGTCAGTTTAACAGAAATTAGAAGTATGGTTTATACAGAGAGGAGAAGGGGTTGACAAATTGTCTTATGCTTCTCAGCTTGGTAAGCACACCTTTTTCCTCAGTTCACATCATTTCTGTGGAGTGGCTTTGTCGGGACCTGATGGCATTATGGTTGGCTGTAACTTGCTCTCTGTAAGCCACCCCTCAACACCAGAATTCCTCATGATACCCTTTCCTTCTCCAGTTCAACCCTGATAGCACTCTACTCTCCCTTGGCAGGAAACTAAGAAGGAAAGAATGGCCATGGATTTTCTGCCTGCACAGGTGATGGTAAGTGAAGGTTGTCTTTTTCCTGAACTGCCTTCTGGATTCAGAGATGGTGGGCATGTTTCCATTCTCTGTCCAGGTAGTTTTCTTTCCAGTGAGAACTGTGGCGAATCCAGAGCCTTGTAACTACCCCCCCTCTGCCCCCCGTATCCTGGACTTATCAAAGAGTTGCTGAGAAGTGTACACCCTCTGTCCTGAGGTCACTTTTAACTCACCCACCACTTCATGGCCAAGGACTGGGCAGCACTGAACAGGAAGCGCATGGTGAGGAGTACGGGCATTCAGCAGGCTTTGTCTTCATGGATGGTGTGGTCTCACTTGGGGCAGAGACATGGAAGGGCCAAAAGTACCTTCAACAAACTTTTATTGAGCACCAACTATGTACAGGGTACTATGCAGGACACTGGGGAATACAGAAAGAAAAGATGTTGTTTCTGTTTTCAAGGAGTTCATGGTGATGATTTTGGGAAGTGATTAAACATCCTAGAACAGGCCGAGGCAAGATCCCAGAGCAGATGCCGAAGGTCAGGACTGATTGGTGGGCATCCTGAAGGGCTTCCACTTGGCTTGGGCTTTGAGGCTGACCCTGGGGTGGGGGGCAGAGGGCTGGGCCTTGCCCAGGGGTCCTCCCTCTTTCTTAGGAGTTCTTTGTGAAGCTGTAACATTGAACTGTCCACATGCCCTCTCAGCCACCTGACTCCTGCCTACATCTTCTCTGATTCTTTTCTCCTTTTACTTCCCCTCCTTGGGCCCCTTTTTCTTTTATTTTATCTTAAATATATCTTATTGATTGTGCTGTTACAGTTGTTCCATTTTTCCCCCTTTATTACCCTCCACCCTGCACACCTCCTCCCATCCACATTCCCCCCCTTTAGTTCATGTTCATGGGTCGTACATATAAGTTCTTTGGCTTCTACATTTCCTATACTATTCTTACCTTCCCCCTGTCTATTTTCTAGCTACCATTTATGTTACTTATTCTTTGTACCTTTACCCATCTCTTCCCCTCCCCCTCCCCCACTGTTAACAATCCATGTGATCTCCATTTCTGTGATTCTGTTCCTGTTCTAGTGTTTGCTTAGTTTTTTTTTTAGGTTCAGTAGTTAATAGCTGTGAGTTTGTTGTCATTTTACTGTTCATATTTTTGATATTCTTTTTCTTAGATAAGTCTCTTTAACATTTCATATAATAAGGGCTTGGTGATGATGAACTCCCTTAACTTGACCTTATCTGAGAAGCACTTTATCTGCCCTTCCATTCTAAATGATAGCTTTGCTGGATAGAGTAATCTTGGATGTAGGTCCTTGCCTTTCATGACTGGGAATACTTCTTTCCAGCCCCTTCTTCCCTGCAAGGTTTCTTTTGAGAAGTCAGCTGACAGTCTAATGGGAACTCCTTTGTAGGTAACTCTCTCCTTTTCTCTTGCTGCTTCTAAGATTCTCTCCTTATCTTTAATCTTGGCTAATGTGATTATGATGTGCCTTAGTGTGTTCCTCCTTGGAACCAACTTCTTTGGGACTCCTGAGCTTCCTGGACTTCCTGAAAGTCTATTTCCTTTGCTAGATTGGGGAAGTTCTCCTTCACTATTTTTTAAAATAAGTTTTCAATTTCTTGCTCTTCCTCTTCTTCTTCTGACATACCTATGATTCTGATATTGGAGCATTTAAAGTTGTCCCAGAGGTTCTTAAGCCTCTCCTCATTTTTTTTTGAGTTTTTGTTTCTTCATTTTGTTCTGGTTGAATGTTTCTTCTTTCTGCTCCAAATCGTTGATTTTTTAAAATTTTATTTATTTATTTATCTTTAGAGGGGAAGGGAAGGAGAGAGGGAGAGAAATATCAATGTATGGTTGCCACTCGTATGTCCCCTGCTGGGAACTGGCCTGCAACCCAGGCATGTGCCCTGACTGGGAATCAAATCGCAACCCTCTAGTATGCAGTCCAGTGCTCAATCCACTGAGCTACACCAGCCAGGGCCAAACCGTTGATTTGAGTCCTGATTTCCTTCCTGTCACTGTTGGTTCCTTGTAGATTTTTATTTATTTCACATAAAGCAATTTTCATTGCTGCTTGGGTCTTTTTTATGCTGTTGAAGTACCCAGTGAGTTCCTGGAGCATCCTAATAACCAGTGTTTTGAGTTGTGTATCTCATAGTTTGGCTGCCTCTTTGTTGCTTAGTTGTATTTTTTCTGGACATTTGAACTGTTCTTTCATTTGAGCCATTTTTTTTTCTTAGTGTGCCTGTTAAGTATAAGGGGCAGAGCCTTAGGTGTTCAGCAGGGCGGGGTAATCCATGTTGCTGAGTTGCGATGCTGTATGTGGAAGAGGGGTCTGAGAGGGAACAGGGCAGCTTGCTCCGCTCTCTGCTAGTTTTCAGTCACTTCCCCGGTTACCCACCAGCAAATTGGGCCCATCTGGTGCTGATTCCTTGGTGGGTGGGCCTGAGTACATTCTAGTACCCTGTGGGTCCCTCTAGTGAACTCTCCTGTGAGACAGGGAGTTTCTCCCACTGCTGCCTCAACCCCTGTAGGTGTTTTCCATCAGAGGCTTTATTTCCCCGCGCTGGAACGCTGGGTTGCACAGTCTGTCTTGCTCCCTAGTTATTCCTCCTGGTTTATCTGAACACAAATGTGGGACTGCCCAGTCTGACAGCCACTGCTTTGCCTGGTCCACCAGCTGCCACCTTGCTGAGAGTCCTCTCCACCTGGCTGCCCATCTCTGCCACTCCTACCGGTCTGGATGAATGCTTCTTCTTTAACTCCTTGGTTGTCCAACTGTCATACAGTTTGATTTTCTGTCAGTTCTGGTTGTTTTTTGTTTTTAAATTTTTTGTTGTCCTTCTTTTGGTTGTGCGAGGAGGCATAGTGTGTCTACTACATCTCCATCTTGGCTGGAAGTCTGGGCCCCTTTTTCTTGATGCTTTCACTTTGAGTTTGATTTCATGACATTAGCTCTCACCTTTCTGAAAATCTTTGCTGAATCTCTGCCCTCATGCCTGAACTTTTCCCTAGAGAGCCTGTCTGTCATTCCCAGACTCTTGGTGAATATTTCCACTTGCAAGTCCCACCTGTCTGCTAACACCAGCCCCCTTCCCTTCACTGCCTTCTCTGGTCTGCCATACCCAAAGCCTCTGTGAGTTACTGGCTGCTTTTGCAAAAAGTGGTGGTAGCTCATAGCTTGAAAATGTGGACCCTGGGACTTTTTTCATAAGTTCACATCCAAGCTACAGATATGACCTTGGGGAAGTTGTTTTATCTCTTGGTGCCTCAGTTCCTCATTTGTAAGTGGGGTTAATAATGCACATACTTCATTTAATCCTTACAAGAGGACTGTTCATATCTGTATTTTTCAGTTGAGGAGATTGAGGCACAGAGAAGCAAATGACATGACCAGGTTACACAGCTGGCATTTGAATCCAGACAAGACAGTCTTTACACTTAGCATTATGCTCTAAGAAAGTATATATAAAGTGCTGAGAACAGTGCATTGTGGTCTCAATCTCAATGAATGGTAGCTGTCACTGCCATTGGTAGCAGCAGCAGTAGTAGTATTTTAGGACCTGCCAAGTTTGGTATGTCTCTCCTCTCTAGGCTAGACTTTCCTTAGACACTTTAACTAGAAGAAGATGGCTGCGTTCAGGGAACCAAAATGCAGTGCAAAGCAGTACTTAGCTTTTACTTGGTCAACCCTTTGCCCAGAGGTAGGGCTTGTCAATCTGGGCTTCCCACACCCCAAAGCTTCAGAGGCTGTCTTGATTTTAGCTGAGGGAAGCTGTAGAAGAGTGTGTTTGCAACTTGGAGCCAGTTTTTGTGCACTACTAATTCAGTGTCTAACTCTGGATTTTAAGTCTCTTATGGACCTGAGATACCCTGTTTGAAGCAGTTCGATGGTAATATCCAATCTTAACTTCTTTCTTTATCCAGGGTACTGAGAAGAAAATTTCTTTCTGCTATCTGTTAGAAAAATCAAACAGCAAATAATTACAATTTTTTGAAAAAGCAGGCTCTTTGCTGATTTTACATTCATTGGTCTATTTGTTTGCATGTAATACATAATTTATCTTATGGGAAAAAGATACATGGAAGTTGATATTGATTGCTTAATAATTATACTGGTTAATTACATCTTTTTAGGCAGTGAATTAGTACTTGTTTTTGGTATTATCACTTAAAAAAGTTTTTATTTCTTAGGAACAGTTTCAGATTTAGAGAAAAATTGCAAAGATCACACCATAGTCACCAGTTTCCCCTATTATTGCTCTTGTTGGGTGGCTCAGTTGCTTGGAGCATTGTCCTGTACACCAAAAGCTTGCAGGTCCCATCCCTGGTCAGGGTGCAGATGAGAGGTAACTGATTGGTGTTTCTCTCTCACATAGATGTTTTTCTCTCTCTCCTCTTTTCTTTTTCTAAAATCAATAAACATATCTTCAGTTGAGGGTTAAAAATAAATATCTGAAACAAATGAAAAAATCACTGCGTATGCTAAGCTTTTGGGACTAAACATAAGGAAATGTCGGTGAAACTTGTAGTAGATCAATAGAAATTATCCTATCTGAAGAACAGGGATGAAAAAGAGCTTCAGTTACAAGTAAAACAATGTTAAAGTTGTAATATACGTGTTATTAGAGTTCAAGCAGAACAGGCAAAGCATGGGGCAAAATACATGGAAAGGAAATAATGGCCAAAATATTCTCAAATTTGGTAAAATACAAACAACCAAACATCCGATATTTACAGGTTTATGACACTCACTGAACCTCACTGAGAATAAATACAAAGAAAACCACAGCTTAGCACATCATCAACTGATGCTGTGCAGTTAAAATACAATGTGAAACATGCATGCAAGTCACATGCGTAGTTTAAAGCTTTCTATTAGTCACATAAAAATAAACAGAAACAGAAAAATTAACAGTAATAGTATATTTTATTTTACCCAGTATGTCTAAAATGTTATTTTGAACATATAATTAATATAAAATTATTGAGATATCATGTGTATATATATATTTCCCTAGTAAATCATCTGATACATATTTTACACATAATCACACATCAGAATTCAGACTAGCCACATTTCGAGTGTTCAGTAACCATTTATGGCTTGTGCCCACCATATTGGGCAGAACAGTCTTAAGTCACTGAAAACTCAAGACTGAAAGCAGACAGAAGAAAGCATCACCGACAGTGAATCTATATTTCAATGTCCATTGGCTCCTCATCAGAAATAATAGTGACCAGAAAACAATGGCCAGAATTCAATAGCCACGGAAAATACTCTTCAAGAATGAAGGTGAAACAAAGACCACTTTCAGATAAAATAAAATGAAGCCAATTATCTTCAGTGTGCCTAATTTAGCAAGACTTGCCAAAGGAAGTTCTTCAAGCTAAAAGGAAATAATGCCAAATGGGAACTCTAATCTTAGGAAGGAAATGAAGAACATTAGAAATCGTGGCTATTTGGATAAGTGGAAAAATACTTTTTCTTCTCAGTTTCTTTGAAAGGCATGATTTTTAAAAGCAAAAATATGGTATTGCATTGGGAGTTTGCAATGCATGGGGCTGTAATGCATGCAATAGCTGTGGCTATAGGTTCATTTATATTTGGACTGGAAAAGCTCTCCTCTGTCTTGGGGGTGCCTGGATGCCTTTTTAGACTCCTGGCCAAGGCAAGAGCAGTGACAATACTGTTTAAGATATAAATGACGCTGGCTGCCTCTCTTCTTCACTGATGGCTTGCAGCACCTACATGGTTTGACAAGCCTTGCTTGATACATGCAGGCCCCCACTGAGATTTTTTTCCTTTGAACTCTCTCAAGCCTCAATTCCTAATACTGATCCGGACACAGCATAGTCTGCATGTGCAGTTAAACGGTGGTGTGCCTGGAGTGTCTTCTCCCTCCATGGCTCGCTTGCATGCTCTCTGCCCTGTTGCACCCTCCACCCTGCTGCACTGTGCCTTGGCCTTCCCTGAGCATGCTCAGTGAGCCCTGCTGGCTGCCTGGACTGGGAAGGTGTAACTAGATCATGAAGGGGGGTTCTTGCATTCTGTGTGAAACCACATACTGGCTCCAAATAGACTATAAAGAGCTAAGAGTGCATATTATAAGTTACAGAAACCACTAAAAGAGGCATAACTAAAAAGTTTAATTTATGTCTACATAAATTAAAATGGAAACTAAAAATACTCAAAACAAGTATACACACACACTTTAAAAAAAATGGAAGCATATGAAGTAATGAGTGAAAGATTGCTTTTCTGCCCTTTGTGCAAATATCAGAGATTCCTCAGGGTGGACAGCTTGTTGAATTCTTCAGATATTTGTGTCTGCATATATGTACATACAGATAAAGAATTTTTTAACAACAGTAGTGTGTTGTGCAGCTTGCTTTTTCATATGAATCCAACAATTTGTCAAGGTCAAATTCTGATTTCAGGCATACAAATCTACTTTATTCTATTAAATGGCCACATAACATTTAATGGAATAAATGTACATAATTTGCTTATCCATTCCCTTATTGATGATGACTCTTTTCAATTTTCACCATTTTCTGTAATTTTTCACCATTGCATTAGTTTCTTATGTCTATTGGAACAAATTAACACAAACTCAGTGGCTTAAAACAACATAAATGGATTATCTTACAGTTCTGGAGGCCAAAGGTCTGGTATCAGTTTCTTGCTCTCTGCAGGACAGGCTCTCTCTGGAGTCTCAAGGGCATCTGCTGCCTGGCCTGGTGTTTGCCTTCCCATGAGTGCCTGGGCTCCTTGGCTTGTGGCCCTTGCTGGGTCTGCAAATGGCTTCACCCCTGTCTCTGCCTCTGTACTCACATTGCCTCCTCCTCTTCTCGCTCCAGCTCTCATGGGTCTTTCTTACAGGGACCATTGTGATTACATTGGATCCATCTGGATAATAATTCAGGATACTCGTCACATCTCAAAACTGGTAATTTAAACAGCTCTTCCAAGGCCCTTTGTCATGTATGTAATGTTCACAGGTTCATGACTCAGCCTGTCACAGCCATGAACTTAGAAGTGATGTTTCATTGAACATCCTTGAATAAATATCTTTATGTAGTTGTGATTATTTCTTGTAGTAGAATTCTAGAAGTAGATTGGCAAGGTCAAAATAATGCGCATATCACATTTTGATGGATTCTCAATGAAATACCCACCAAAAGCATCTTACTAGTTTCCACCCCCTTCAGCTCTTTCCTACAAGGGCTGCTATCTGCTCCACTTCTCTGCTTCCTCACACTTGGGGGTTTCAACTGGAGTTCTCTAGGAACAACTTACTTTCTCAACAGTTTCCTCTTGCACCTTTAGTGTCTGGCACCGTCCTTTATTTTGTTTTTTGTTTTTTAAAATTTTTCATAGTCAATGGAAACCCATCAGACAACATAGGGATCTGTTTCCTTGAATTGAGGTTTGAGCTCCCCACTTCCTAACAGCACTTTGGGAAGGTTACTAAACCTTTCTGAACTATTTCTTTACCTGGAAGATCCATTAATCATGTAGCTTTCTCATAGGATTGCTGTGAAATTAGATACTCCATACAAATTCCCATCATAGTCCCCAACATATAAATGTTTAATAAATAAATATTAAGTGGCATTCTTTTTATTATGTTTCTGGTTCCTTTGTTTCTGTTCTGCTGACCGTGCTTTCCCCAGTTTCCCAGCATCGCTCTAAAGATATTCTGATTTTTCTTTAATTTGGATTTGAGTGGGAGGGAGGAAGGCAATACATGTGCTCAGTTACTTTTGACAGATCCGGTCTGGATTCAACTCCCTGCTGGCAGGGACTCTGCCTCCCCACTGCTAATTCGCCTTTGCTCCCCCTGGGCCCTCAGCACATACTTGTTTCATAGATGGTGGGTGGCTCCACAGTAACCCACAGGGCTGGTGTGAGACCTTAGAATCCTGAGAGTTGTCAGAATTGCTGCCCAGCCCAGTGTCAGCTTCTTACTGAGTCTGTCAGTGGGGGAGCTGGTCCTGGGTGAGCAGAGGTGGCTTTGCTGTTACAGGAGTCTGTGACATTTGGGGATGTGGCCGTGCTCTTCACCCGGGACGAGTGGCTGTGCCTGGACTCTGCACAGAGAACTTTGTACCAGGAGGTGATGATGGAGAATACCAGAGCCCGGTGTCCCTGGGTAAGGCCAGACCTCATCCTGGTCTCGCTGGGTGAGGCCCTGCCCTGTCCCGGGATCTGTGGGTGAGCCCCTGTCTCATCCTGGTGTCTGTGGGTGAGGCCCTATCTTGTCCTGGGCTCACTGGGTGAGGCCCTGACTATTCTTGGGCTTGCTGAGGAAGGAGGTTTTCCCTGATGAAGAATCTGCGGTGGGAGAACTTAGGGCTCCCTGATTGGTTTCAGAGTCAGCAGTTTCCCACCCCACCATGCCCTTGGGAAAGGGGGCTCTCTCAGCATTGACAGCATATACTTTTGTTGTGATGCCCTTCATGCTATTCTCTCCTTCCTGTGCCTTCCTTCTACTCAACCTTCCAACCTAGGTTTCCTCCTACTTCATGATAGATTCTGGAAAACACTGAACTCCTGTCTTAGAGGCGATGGGCCAGGCCCTGTACTGTTTCTGAGCTGAGACCCATCTCCTGCCCCACCCAGACAGCTCCAGCCCCCTGGCAGTGCTGTGCTGCTCGCTCCACCCCCAGCTTCTTCCTGGGTGTGAGGTCTGGGCTTACTCATCATGCCCTTTGTTCAAACTCTCTCTCCTTCCTCCTGAGCAGGGATCCTGTTTTCAGTGCCAGAGGTGATCTGCCTGTTGCAGCAAGGAAAAGATCCCTGCATAGTGGTAAGAGTAATTCCTCCAGACACCTGTCTTGGTGAGTGCATGGGTGTCCTCCTACCTGAGTCGGTCAGGGGAGGCAGGGCTCCAGCAACGCTTGGAAACAGAGACCTGGCTGAGCTGGGCAGGGCCATCAAGAAGGGCCTTGTCTTGACATTTTGTTATCTGTTCTCCACCCCTGTCCCTTGCTTGCCTCACTCACTTCTACATCTTTGGCCTTTTGCTCTTCATAGTTTTCTTTCACATTTACGTGGATTTCTATCTGACAGATTTTAAATACTTTATACCTTCTGCTGCCTTCCATGTTTTCAGTTCTTCATCATTTTCTTTCACAACTTTCAACAACTGCATATGTCAAAGTACTGTCAATGCCCCTCTGTCGCTGGCTTCTCGAGGTTTCCCTGTTGTGTTTTGAAGACCAGTGATCATCTCTCATTCTTAGGTTCACCCAGTTGCCATGAGCACAGTCACTGCAGGCTTGCAGTCCAAGGGTTGGCCCACTTTTGCTATAAGGGGCTGGATAGCAGGTATTTTGGTTTTGGGGTCCTGTGGTCTTTGGTGCAGCCACTTAACCCTGCCATTGTAGCGCAAGAACAGCCAGAAGCAGGCGCCCCAGGGATGTGGAGTTTGCCACTGTGGTCCTAGCCCATCCTACCGTAGTGGGTCTTTGTCACAACACTGTGGGTTGCTGGAGTCACAGGGCGACTTACAGGTGATCAAATTTAGGCACCTCTTTTTTTATCTGAAGAAACGGCATTACAGATTTTATTTTTTATTAAAAAAAAGGTTTTATTTATTTATTTATTTTAGAGAAAGGGAAGAGAGGGAGAGAAACATTGATGTGTGAGACAATCATCGATCATTTGCCTCTTACAACCCAAGCATGTGCCCTGACTGGGAATTGAAAGGGTGACCTTTTTCTTTGCAGGATGACGACCAACCCACTGAGCCACACCAGTCAGCTCTAGAGATTTTAACATACTTCAATCACAGAGCTGAAAAGCTCAGTGCAGTGGTATAAATCTGTGTCACCAGTGTCATTTCTGTTCACCATGTGACATAGATTTGTAATATTTTGCTTCTGTCTTTGTGGCTGGACCTTAAATCTATGACTCTTGCCTTCACTGACAGCAGTTTTTATTTTAATTTTTGTTCACTTTCTCTACAGATCTTTTCATCTTTATTAAAATACAATTTTCTTCCAGCAAATAGTAGGTAGTGCAGATAGCATATAGATTGTGGTTTTAATTTAGACATTTCTAATTTCAGCTTACCCCACCTACCACTAACAAGCCTAACAAACTATGGGAACAGTACTCAGTCTGGCTGAGCCTTGTGTTTTTTAACCACTGTCCATGCCACCAGCAGAGTGACATTTTTGAAACATAGGTGTTAATCCCAGATCTCAAGAGAGATTCATTGTTTCCCCATTATCGATGGAGTAAAGTAAAGCCCTAATGTGAGGTGAAACCTACTTTATAGTCTTTCTCTGTGTTCCTTCTTAGTCCCATTAGTGGCCAGTTTAATGTCGCCTCCATGTGCTGGGCGAGGCTGCCTGCTCACTAACATTTGTGGGTTATTCCTTCATCTTCAATTGCCTCTTCCATCTTGCCTGCTGCAAAACTATTTATCCTTCAAGATCCATATGTCTGCTCAAAAAGCCACCCTTAATTTGTAGCTTTACTTTATCTTTTCTGCTTCCTAGTCAGCATTCATTTTCACTCATTTGCATTGATGTAGCACTCTTTACATACTGTGAACATATCCATTATGGTATTTATTGTAATGAATTATCATTATTATTTGTTTTCCTTGTTATGTTGCACATATTGAAGGAATGCTGTGCCTCTAGTATCTAATGGATTGCATTTAGTTAATTTTTCAATCTAATTGAATTGTCTCCATGATCAGCTTAATGCCAGTGAGGCCCAAAATCCAGTTCTCTGTCCAGCCAGAGCCCTGAAGCTGTCATTCCTCTGATGCACGCTGCCTGCTAAAAATGACCCTTTTTTTTCTTACCATTTCCAGCCTGAAAATCTGCAATACCTTCTGTTATCTGTATTACTGTTCTTGATTCCTCGGCCAGGTTTTCCAGAACTCTGTGTGTGCCCTCATCCTTCTTAACAACATTCTGCACTTATTCTGACTAGGATTTCTTCTTCAGTCAACGTGTCTTCCCTGAATAATGACTTCCCTTAAAGATGGCTTTGGGCCTTCTTTCTGGCACACAGAATTCTCTTTTTCTGTTGAACTCCATCACATCTTCATTGTCCAACTTCCTTCATAAAACCATTCTTTACTAATAAAGTTGATGTTGGTATCTTCTTTCTGAGCCTCACATCTGCATCATACAGTGAGGCATCTCATATCCTTAAGCAATGAGCTATTACTCTTTGGTCATTTAGTTCATATTCTCATTGCTGATTATTCAATATTTGTTCAATAAATGACTCATTGTGTCTCAGGTGTCCAGTATAAGAGGAAATAATCTCCCTTTAAAATAAGTTTTCCAACCGATACTGCCTATTTCTTTTTCTTTCACTTGAGACATTTTGATTGCATCCTTGCCTTGTGCACAAGGAATTAACAAAAACCCAATAATATATAGTTACTGTTCTCCTTGAACAAATACTGAATTATTTTTTACAAACTTTATATATGCAGGTGATAGAATGTGTAAATAAAATATGTTTTGAAAGTCTAAGAAAGATATGGTAAATCTAGGCTTAAATAATTAAGTTTTTTTAGAGAATGGGATCAGAATAGTAGGGTAAGTTTATGGCTATGGAAGGCCACATCATGGCAAAGGATAAACAGGGAGATGGAACCCTGGTTGATCCTTGAAAATTCAAACTGCTAAGTTTCCCAAAGATATCCTTAACTAAGACAAATCTGTATTTCTATAGATGTATGGCCTATATTTCTTGTTCCTCTTACTATTTAATTTCAATAAATTGGTTGGACTTTAAAAACATAAATAATCTAATTATATTTTATTTAAGTTCTGTAGTTTATTTAAGTATACAGTTACCTAATTATAGTGATCGAATTCAAGTGTTTTCAGTTATGGATTGACTAAAAAAAAGCCAGGTTTTAATGTAGAACTCCTTAGAATCAGCTGAAGCTAAATCTGTTCAATTGCAATCAAATTTGAGCTGGGGCTTGGACATATTTCAGAACATCAGGACATGCTGACCTAACATTTCTTGCAGATTTCCATTAGTTTCAAAAGATTCCTACAAAGAGAGTTCAACCATCTGGTTGCAGTTTATTTGAGTAAATGCATATGTCTATTTCTTTTCCTGATCAAATAGAAAGGGGGAAGGATAGTATGAAAAAATTATTATTTTTCCAATTACAAGGGATAGATTATTGCACATGGCTGATGTAGTCCATATTTCTCTTTTCTTTATAATTATCATCTTGAACTTAGATCAGATGGCATCCACACAATCATGCTTCAGGGCTGTCGTAAATTTAAAACCTAAACTTTCTCTTTTAATAGACTGTTTTTCTTTTCATAGCCTGGTATGAAAGCATTTACATACAAAATCACAAAACTTAAGATAAATATTGCAAATGTTTTTAAATTCTTGTGTATAGAGTTTCAGCGAAAGCATGGTGTGGGGAATGTAAAAAAAAAGCAACATGTGAATAGAAAGGAGAAAGTAAAGACAAGTGATGTGCCTCTTGCCTAGTGTGCTCAGACTAGAAAGTAAAGATAGACTGAAGTATCCCATAGTATTCAATGTGAGCTTGTCATTTTCTGTATCCTCATACCTTCTGCTCAACCAGTTCTGTGTCTGTCTTTACTTCTCTCAGATTGTGATCTCTTCATTTTCATGTCTAGTGTATTCTCCCGTACCACTCCTTAACTATTAACTTCCCTTTCCATTCCATCCTGTTTTTCTTCAGATTCAAGTCCATATTGAGATCAGACGGTATCAAACCTTTTTGATATGTATTATTGCTGATGTTGGTGTCCCACTGGTGCATACTAATCTCTTCCAGCAGAGGAGGCATTAATTCTTCTAATTCATTCCAGATTTCAAGAGTTGGCTTGAAGTAGAAGAATTGCATCCCAGACAGGACATTTTTATAAAAGAAACATCTCAGGGAATAATAAAGAAACAAATCCACTAAGTTTGGTCATTGGGGCATCAAGTTTGAAGAAGCTTTGGAATTTGAGAGCAAAGCAGAACAAGAACAACATAAGAAGCCTTTTAGGCAAATGGTAGCCTCACACAAGAAAACCATCTGTGGTGATAGAAACCATGTAAGTCTTGAATTAGAGAAAGGCTTATTTATAAATACATTTCTTGTTGCACAACAGAGGTCTCTTAGAGAAAGGACACCTAATATATATTCTACTTTTGGGAAAGATTTGAAACAGGATTTTGATCTAATGAAATGCTCACAAATTTATTCTGGAGAAAAACCTCATGTTTGTAATGCTTGTGGGAAAAGCTTCAGTCAAAGTCTTCATCTTATTGAGTGCCAGAGAATTCATAGTGGTGAGCAACCCAATAAATGTAATGAGTGTGGGAAAAATTTCAGCCATAGATCATCCCTTCTTGTCGATCAGAGAATTCATACTGGAGAGAAACCTTACAAATGTAATGAGTGTGGCAAGGCATTTAGCAGCAGTTCAGCTCTTATCAAACATCTGAGAGTGCACGCTGGAGAGAAACCCTATCAATGTAAGGAGCATGGTAAAGCCTTTAGCAGGCGTTCAACCCTTAATCTACATCAGACAATTCATACTGGAGAGAAACTCTATAAATGTAGTGAATGTGAAAAGGCATTCAGCTATAGAGGAAAACTTTATATACATCAAAGAATCCATACAGGTGAGAAACCCTGTAAATGTCATGAATGTGGGAAAGGCTACAGCAAGCTCACTTACCTGGCTAAACATCAGAGACTTTATACTGGGGAACAACGGTATAAATATTTGGAATGTGGGAGAACTTGCAACCTGCATCTCAAATGTTGTTGAACATCAGCAGATTCATACTGGACAGAAACCCTATCGTTGTAATGAATGTGGGAAAACCTTCAACCAGTATTTGTCCTTTAATGAACATCGTAAAAGTCACACTGGGGAGAAACTTTATACATGTGGAGAATGTGGAAAAGCCTTTGGATGTATATCCAACCTTTATAGACAGCAGAGAACTCACACTGGAGAGAAACCCTCACACTGGAGAGAAATGTAATGAGTGTGGGAAAAATTCATCCCTTCAGAATTCTCTGATGGACAGTGTGGACAGTGTGGGAAATCTTTCAGCAATCCTGACTGAACATGAGATAATTCATACCAGAAAGAAACTATAATGTGTGGAATGTGGGAAAGCCTACAGTTACAGATCAAACCTTTGTAGACACAAAAAAATTTATACTAAAGAAAAAGTCTAAATGGAAGGAATATGGGATCAGAGATTTCTTAGAGGAGATAAGCCCTGTGAAGTTTAATTTGTCTCTCAAATAATTCAAGACTTCTCATTGGAAAATAATGAGAATAATAAATAAGTCACAGCATCCAGATAAAGTAAGTCTTTTTACTTCTCCAGGAGAAAAAAGTGCTAGTTACTACTAAGTAATGATAAAACTGTTGAAAGGAACTATGAAGAGCACTGACTTGTCAAATTTTATAAGAAACATTAAATTCTACGTTTCAAATACAAAAGTTTTTAAATTCCTAAAAAAGTAAAAGCCAAACTTTAAAAAAAAAGCATGAAAATAATGGAGTACAAACTTTGTTTCTTTCTTTAGACTTTACTCCCTTTTTAAGAGTAAGCTTCTACATGAATTTTCTTATAAAAACAGTCATTTAGTTATTAATGTGAATAAGTGTGGGGCCTTATTTTCTAAGACATAAACATAAGATGTCTCCCTAGACATATGTCTCCCCAGACGTAGGATGTGTTTGTTCTTTATCATGAAGAGAAAGTAAAGCTAAAAATAAATTCTTTATATTCATATTTTCACATGGAAATAATGAACTGCTTTACCAGCAAGTTTTATACACAGACACATATACACACACACAAACTGAACACAGCCTCTTACAATAACACCTGTGGTACATGATACAGCTGGGTTCCTAGAACACTCATCTAGGGGGGAAGCCTGTACTACAAGGGGCTAACCCTCCAGAAGATAATCCCATTTTGGGGGGTCTCCCCTCATGTGTGTGTGTGTGTGTGTGTGTGTGTATTCTGTTCAGAAAGCAGCCAGCCAGCCGTGTGACATGAAAAATAGAGACTTACTGAAGAGGATACAAGAAACATTTTACCTGGGACAATGGCGCCTCAGTCCCCTTTAAAGTAGGCACTTTGGGACCTCACATAGTTCTCTGAATTGCCATCAACTGCCCTGGCATATTTTTTTGAATCTCACTGACAGAAATCTCTTCCCTTTCAAAAGTGATTTTAAAAATTAGAAACAAATTAAATGCCCAATAAAGGAAAACAGATGAATATATCATGGAATGTTTTTTATAATACAATGGTCTATAGCAATAAAAATAAATAGATTTGAACAACAATAACAACAAAAAAGTGATTTTAGCTTTGTAAAAAGAAGTCACAGGGCACGAAGTCTAGACTGTAGGTGCCGTGTCACCTGGGTGATTTGACTTTGTATAAGATGTGCCAAAAAACTTTGTATAAGATGTGATGCGTGAGCAGGCACATTGTCGTGATGAATCTGTAAAGCACCAGTTGCCCATAGCTGCATCCTGAATCATCTGAAGAGTTTCCGTGGAGGAATGTTTGAGCCTAATGCAAAATTTGATGCAGATTCATTGCTCTACTCACTTAATTTGAATGTGATGGCCACACAGTACACACGCTCACTCAATGGCATCAACCACCTCCACTGACTAGTATGGTGACGTTGTCATTGTTCATGCATGTGCATTCTAGCCCACTCTCCTTGGCTGTCAGGTTACATTAATGTGCAAACTGTTCTTGTTATATTAACAATGGCCAGACTTTTTCCAGGAAGACTCTACACACAAACACAGTTTTGGAATGTATATTTTTTCCGAAAGTCTTTGATAGTTTTAAAAATGTGGTTTTATTAGAATTTAGTTTTGAAAATTAAAATTTTGCCCAAATGGAGTCTCTTCCATTTCCTTTTCTACATTATTTCTAAGTCTGATGGGACTCTGCATTACTTATAGAGGCCCTTATAGTCCTGGAGAAGGTGGAGTATAGTGGGGAAGGGGCAGATTCATGCAAATGAATCTCATCAGTTACAAAGGTTTATATTTGCAGAATCTGACTATACATCTGGTAGCTCACTAGAGTGAGGAGAGATTTTAATTCAGTTTACTTGTACCCTTTAATTTTACTAATGAAAATATTGAGCTACTGGGTGGAGTCAAGACTAATCCAGGTCTTCCACTCTGGTTTTCTGTGGTAATTAAAGGTTCATTTCCAACCTCAAGTCCCAAGAATACTATTTATTTTGTAAATTGGTTAGGCACAAATGGAATAATTTAATCATTTTATTTATATACTTGATGTGCTTCCTCTCACTTTCGTCTTAATAATTGACTTAAAATCATGTTCATCCTAAAGGCACATAAAGTACCTTTAATTATACATGCCTTTATAATAACTGTACATAAATCTTTAAACCCAGCTGAAGTCCAGATGGTGAAATTGCTTTTGGGGGTTTCACATAACAATCTGTTTTTGTTGTACATCTTCAAAAATTAAAAAAAAATTCTCACCTGAGGACATGATTATTGATTTTAGAAAGGGGAAGGGAGGGAGAGAAAGAGAGAAACATTGATTGGTTGTTGCCTCTTGCACTGGCCCTGACTGCGGACAGAACCTGTGACCCTGGCATGTGCCTTGACCAGAAATGAAAACTACAACCTTTGGGTTTATGGAACAGTGTTCCAACCAACTGAGCCACACCAGTCAAGGCTTTCACAAGTTCTTTTGTCTAAAGTGATATATGAATATTTTATCTCTTGTTCATTAGAAAGAATCTTTATATATTTAAGTATATTTACAAGGAAAAGGAAGCTTTTAAAAGTCCTCAGTATTTAACATTGTGCAGAGTCATTTGCAAGATATTCTAGATAAAAACATTACCCAATAGCAGTGACCATGATTGGTACCCAAATTTTGGTTTCTAAATGCCATTCCCACTAAAAGGAACCAGGGCTCCTTAGAGTAATGGCTGACTTCATATTTGGAGTAGGAGAAGCATAAGGTGTTCTTGGAGTACCTTTTAATGAAACAAGACAAAAAAAAAGGCATTCTTGAAACTAATGGGATAATGTCAGGGGACATGGGAGCCAGCTTGAATGCACATTCCACTGGTCAAATTTAGGACAATTTAAATATCAAAAAGAAGAATCAGGGTAATTGGTTATAATATGCTAAGTAAATGTGGGGGCGGCTTTCCTTGCAAGTTCTCCCGAGTGCCATGGATGAGAGTAAATATGACTGAGACATGATGTGATCTGCTTAGGGAGGAGAAGTGAGCAGTGGCCAGTTTCTCGGAGGAGAAAAAGGCCTGGAGCCCCCTCCTCCAGGGCCTTTTATTGGGTTGTAATACACAGGAATACAGGGTGGCAAGGATCAAACAGATAACATTTCAAAGATATCTGAGGGCTTACTATGAGTCATAGTCTGTCAGGAACAGAGTTTTAGGGTTTCTTGCTTGAACCCTTAACATATGAATGAAAGCACTCTTAGCAGAGCAGTTTCACAGGTTTATCAGGAAGTCTGTGATTTCAGATTTTCCCCCCAGGACATGCTCTAGCAAGGCAAGGAGTTGCACCTCTCCCCATCAGGTATTCAGGCATAAGGGGATTAGAGCCAGGAAGCGCTTCTTCCAGAGAACATGGGGACTCGGGCTATGTCAAAGCTGGGCTGTATCAAAGCTGGGGGGCTTTGCTCTTTGTTGCAGCCCCTGAGTCCTTCCATGAAGGCCTCCCAGTGATTGAGTCTGGCTTAGGTTGCCCCCCACTGTGAGGGGTCTTACCTGTTATTGACTGCCGACCAAGCTTTGGGGGCAGGGAGAGGAAACTGAGGCAGTGTTTGCTACCAGAGACAGGCTTTGTCTCCTGTGGCTCGCATTCCAAAGGTTGTCTCTTGCCCTTAGCCACAAGGGGTAGAGACACAATTCCTAAAACCAGGCAGAGTGGTCTACAACAAGTAAAAATAAATAAACAAGCCTATAAAGAAAAAATAAAGGAAAACTTTATAAACTTATTTGAAGAATGCTACCTTTTAACTCTATATCTAATGACAGACTGAGATATAGCACCATTTTCCAACCCTTAATTGAATTAAATGAGACACATTCAATAGATGGTAAAAGCTATTAGATGAAGAAAAATTATACATGGTGTCAAAAGGTCAGATACCAGTTGTAAAGGGAAGATGTGCCTTTATAATGGAGAGGTCTGACTGTCAGACTTGTTTTACTGCCAGTGGGACAACCTGCCAATGTGTATGCATAATACACACATGACCATCTGTCATGCATTCCTGCTAAAAATGCTAAACAAAGTCTAATTTATTATGTATACCTATCCTCTTGTTTGTGAGAAATACAAGGAATAGAGGAAAAGTTGAATTACACAGTGAGTAAATAGAGTTTGAGATGTACAAGAAAAACATCTGGATTTACCAAAAAGCTCATGTAATAAAAAGTGGACTCTTGTAGATTAAGATGCTTAAGAGATATAACCAAATGCAAGGTGTGACCCTAAATTGGTTTCTGATTCAGAAAAATTAAAACAATTATAATGGACAGTTGAAATATGAATATGGAATGGGTATTACAAAATAATATCACTTCTACAAGTGATAAGACAATGCCCTTAGGAGATGCATGCAAATTTTCAAGTTTAATAAGTCAATGTTTGCACCATATTTTCATATAAATAAAAAATTAGCTTCTTTGTGGAAGATATAAAGGTGCTCATTGGTTATCTTTTGAACTTTTTCAGTATGTTTAAAATTTGAATAATAAAATACTGAGGCAAACTGTGATTGAATGGAGTGATGAATATGAAGCTTCCAGTCATAGTTCTTCCTTTGTACCCAGTTTCCTACCTGAGAGTTTATCCTGTGGGGATGTAATCTTGGAAATGACTTTTGGCTGGTTCTGGTTCCACTTTGTTGAAAAAAAAATTTAAATAAGAATATAGTTAATATACCATATTATATATTTCAGGTGTATAATAGTGATTCAATATTTATATACGTAATGTGATCACCACAACAAGTCAAATAAACCATCTTACAGCATACAAATTTATTACTATATTATTGAGTATATTTTCTGCACTGTACATTACATCCCTGTGACTTACTTTATAAGTGGAAATTTGTACCTCTTATTCCACCTATTTTAAAAGAGTTAAGTACATGTTTCCCATTCTAATTTTCAGTGAAAATTAACATATTTGTTGCATTTGAAGGTTTTCACTAACATTTAATTATATACATTTTAACATTAGCACATTTTTGATCAACCCAAACAATAAAAACACAGTATATTTTGCATCTAACTTGAAAGATATGTATTTCTTTTAAGTAAAAAGTTTTTTGAAATACAACTTTTAAACGTGCCATACCTTATACTCCACATAAGGTTGAATTAGGTTTTTATAATTCCTTAGTAGTGGGAAGAGTGTGGTCTTTTCTCTCCATCCCCCAATGTCCAACACTGTATATAATGCACAATTTAATATTTTTGAAATAAACTAAATTTAACATTTATATCAAATAAGTTTATGAAATAAAACTTCCCATTTTCTTTTGTTGTATTAACTTTGGTAGTTAGTATCTTAATCACATGCATAATCCCTCTATAGAATATTCCAGCACTTGTTCCATATTATTGTATATACCAAGAGTTGGTGTGCTAAAATTTTCTTATCACTTTGGTCTTTTAATCACTGTTATTAAGTGCTTTTAATCTTAAATAGGCCTAGCTATACATTTGTGAT